CGAGTCACCCTTACCGTCTCCCACTCTGGTTGAATCAGGATCAAGTCTGTTTAACACAGAACTTCCATCTCCATCTAATCTCCCAACACCCCCAAAGCCAGCTCTGTAACTAGTATCATCTAATTTACCATCCTTGTCATGCTGAGAGCCCACACCTTCTCCATCATCCATGTCAACGCTACCAGAACCCAGCATAGCATCATCTCTGCCATCTGCAGAATACCATTCACCTGCACCTCCTAATTCATCACCAGTATCTGCTCTGCCTGTCAGAGCATCCTTGCTGCGGAGAGGCCTTAATCCACTTTTGCCTCCTAAGCCTTTTAATCCAAGGCTACCACCATCAGTTGTCATTGAGTCTCCATCTAGGTCTGCTTCAGAAAACTGCCCAAACCCCATCCTCCCATTTTTGTGGGCTCCACGTAGCCCATCTTTTCCCAAAAGTCTACGGCTTCCATCAACATCAGTAGAGTGGCCTTGACTCCTGCCTTGACCATTTCTGAACCAGCCATCTTTTTCCATGCCAGTGTCCATAAGATGATCTTCATCACCAACATATTCTCTGCGTCGAAGTTTCTTAGCCCCGTCTTTATCTGGCAATGTTTCTTTCAGCCACTCAGAATTCTCTCTTTCATCTCCTTCACCCTGTCTCCTCTTTCCTTTACCATCTGTATTGAAGATGTATTGTTTGATTGGAGGAGATATAATTTAAAAGAAAAGAGAAAAAAAAAAAAAGAACAGACAATTAATAGGTCTCAACAACCAAAGAAAATGTGTTAGCATTTGTTATAATATTATTCTAGGAGACAGAAACATAGTATATTTAAATGAATTTAAATTCAGTTCAAATCCTGAATTTTTTCAGTGTCACATTCAGACAAAATTTTACATTTCTGAGTTAAAAAGACAATTATTTTTAGTGGAAACATGCTTATTAAAAAAAACAAACCAAACAAAACCAAAACAAGCAGAAAAAGAAGGCAAATTTCCATCATGATAGGTCTAATTTAGAGGGGCTCAGGTTGTCTTTGGGACTCATTAGTTCCTTCTGTGTTCTCCCTCCAGCCCTGGAGGAGTTAGAGAACAACCCACGCACAGAGTGGCCATCACTTCCCACTCCTGAATTAGGACCTCACTGCTACTGAGGCTGCTTGCACATTGGGCGTCCCGGCATTTGAGAGATGGCCAACCTGAAGATTAAAGAATCCAGTTCTGTGAACAGCTTTGTATTAATCCAAAATTCAAGCTTTTCTGAGACACACAGTGGAGCTTGCAGGTCTCACACAGTTTTGGTTTCCAGGCTAGATGTAATTTCTGTAGAGCATTAACAGCTCAATGAAATCAGTGGGCAGCTTGTTTGCATGTCATACTCAACCCGCACTGTTTCTGAAAGGTCATCAAAAAGCCTTTATGCGAGAGACCACCTTTTGCTGCAGCAGGATCTTAAAAGAAACCAAAGCAACTACCTTTCAGAAACAAAAAAATATGAGCCAGCTAACTATTAATCTGCTTGCACTGAAAGGAGTGTTTCCCATCTTCCCAGCCTCCTTTGAAGCTTCTAACATGTTTAACCTCTAATCTGGAAAGAAAAATACTATCTAGCAAGATAGCATGGAACAGTATTGATAGTATAGAATTGATAGCATTGAAAGCTCCTTGATCCCCTGTATGTCGTACTGTGTTCACACAGCAACAGCTTCATCAAAAACCCTTGTTGAGATATGGAATATTTTTCGAGAACTGATGGAGAACATGCTACTTCCTACTAGCTGGAGAGTAAATAAGCCAATAGGATTTGTCCGAACTAATAAAACGGGAAAAAATTGTCCCATCTGGAGAAGAAAGAGACTCTAGCCAGATCTTCAATTTTCCAGATATAATTTAGAAAGTAGAGGCTCCGCAATTCATTTCTCAGCACACAATCATCTCAGTGAGCAATCCGGCAGTGAGAATAATATTATTTTGTTAACACACCTCAAGCTAACACCACAGGAACAATACAGTGCCACTTACGCTCTACAATAAGCCAGGCATTTGAGGAGCAGAGTCCAGTGTCGAGTGTGTACATGCCGTTGTCAGAGGGCACAACATTTCTGATAATCAGCTGGTGGGTCAGACCGTCGGGTGTTACAGAGATCTCGTGCTTCTCACTTCCCTCGAGGAGGTGGGTTTTGTGCAGCCACACAGCATCATAGCAGGGTGTGCGTAGAATGCACTCAAAGACAGCATCTTCCTCCTCAGGACAACGCACATCAGTGAGTGGCTGCTCAAATCTCACAGGGATGGCTGCAATGGAAAAAATCAAAAGCTGTCGAAAGGAAACAGCTATTTCTAGCTTCCAAGAAAAACATGTCGCAGATGAAGAAAGACAGATGGACATGAACTTGCCATGCCTGTGAGCATTGGTTTAAGCAGAAAAAGGAACATCTGAGATGTGGTACTGCGCCCAGTTCTACAGGACAGAAAAGTAGATTTTTGTCTTTATTATCTTCTGAGACATTTATACCATACATCACTGATGTGCTGATAATTTATATCCATTAACGTATTTCAGCAGCATGATACTTGTATCAAGCTGGTAGTTATTACTCTGAGCTTAAAAAAGGGAACTATAGCATGGGGTAAGTTAAGGAATTTTCTCACTGTTGTCCTGAAGCCAGAGCCAAATTGCTACTTGAACCTCATCCTTTGGACTACAAATGCAACACCCACATCACTTGATCACCTTCCTGCTCTTTTTCACCTGTGTCATATAAGGTGCCCTTATTTGGCAACACAGAAACAGTCCTCTGTAGTTACCAGGTTTTACTGCTGAGCTTTGCATATGCTCCTAGATAAATTTTTCCAACAAAAAATAATTTTTTGTTACAGCTGCACATCACATATATCTAACTCAACTCCTTACATTCAACTTCCAGTTCAGTTGAGAAAACAGGTACGTCCTCCACTCTGACTTGATACAAGCCTGCATCTTCTGGCTGCACATCGTTGACAATGAAATTATACCTTTTTCCAATTCGTCTCAGGCAATGTTTTCTGTATTCATCCCCCGTTCCATATCTGAGCCTCTCACCGTCCTAGGAAGAGAAAGAATACATTCTGAAAGGCAATTCTCAACTAGTGCAAGGCATTTCTAACAAATCAGGCCAAATATGTGCTACAATTGCCTTACTGATATAATTGAGTAACAACACAGAAGTCTGCACTCTATTACTACTTACAGTGGACAGCTGTAAGTGGACAGGGCTCATTGCTAACATAACACCTGGGCAATGCTCTGTGCGCCGAGTCCTGCACAGAACAGAGCATCAGTCTCTCAAGCTAGGCAAGAGAATTGTACTTTGCTAGCTCACAGAAGGTGTTGAGGTTTAACTGATACACAGTCACTGTAAATTCGAAGACAAAGTACGTTGCTTAGATTTTAGCATCCTCACAGATGGATAAGCAGGTGAGCTCACCACTTTCCTATCTGTACCACACTTGGGTTACCTTCTCCACATTGTGGCTGCACAGACTTCATGCGATGCATTTCATTCACAAGTTCATAGTTAGTCTGACCTCCTCTTTAATGGATTTCTATTTCCCTGTACTAAAGCCACTAACCACAGTTTGACTGAAATGTATCTTCTAGAAAAACATCCACAGCAGTGCTCACCTGAGGATCAGAGCAGAACGAGTACAGAACTAGATGGGATGTTTTACTTCCTTGAGATCTTCTTTCACAGAAGTGAATTATAGTGGAATAACACACTCCAGAAAGTGAATAAAATCAGTTTGTTTTTCTTACATGACACTGCAGAATTTCCGCAGCCGGAAGACACTGTTAGAATTTCCTCTTACCCAAAGAGCTCTTGAAGTCAAAATTATGTCAGCAACTGACTGTTTCCCCTGTACTTGGACCTACAAATCCCAAGTGATATTAACCACCAAAGACTACCTGGACTCCCACACCAACACTTCTCCCCAGTCAACCAAGTATTCTGTAATGGACAGACAACTTTAAGAAGCTTGTTTGCTCTCAGTCACTGCCCAGCAGATGAAGCATTTTATGTAGAAGACTTCCGCGGCTGCTATGAGCTGGGCAACTCATCTCACACCCTCACCTTAAGGAGATAAACTTTGCTGTTGCTGTTTTTCAGGTCCATCTCCAGACTGAAGGTAGCTTTTCCCTCCTTGTTGACTTTGATGTGTACAAAGTTTTTGATACTGTGTATTAACTGCAAAGAAAAATACAAGAACCTAGTAAATGATAAGGCTGCCATGACAGAAGCTCTTAAGCTGCTGAACTAATGTGAAATCTACTTCTTATCTGCACAAAAAAGAGCTACCGCTAACTTTGTGCATATAGAAAAAGCACCTGTAAGCTTCTACAGCTTCTTCCTGTAGGCAAACTATATTTTATGTGCTAACTCCTGGTCATTCACACACTATGCAACCACTATCCATCCAGGGTTCTACATGCCCCTGTACGTGAAGGCCAATTTTGACTCTCAGGTATATAACTGTTCAATTTGGGGTCCAAATTCTTATCAGAGGCAACTGAATACAGATTTTAGTCTTGCGGTTTAATAAAAGCACTACTCTACGGTCAGTAACTCCTAAAATTTATGAAGTGAACTTCAAAAAAGTCAGTAGCCTTTTCACCTACATGAGTATAGAAGTACGACTTCTTTAAAACTTTGTCATAAATCATTCTCTGTCTTACAATAAGATTTTCATCTACAAAGCAATTTAGGAACATTTAGCCGGTTTGCAGAAGCTGCTGATGAACTGTAGGACTCTGCAGTTTGTTAAAAAACAGTGCTTTCATTGGTTTGAGTTTATTTTACCTCTCCTTGTTCGCTCTCTGTGTCCTTCCTCATCTCCTGCAGCTTTCTCAGCATCCCACGGAAGTCAACAATTCCATATTTCATACAGATTTTCTCATAATCTCTCCTATCTGCATGCAGCAACAGTTGCCAGACTGCTTCTTTGTCCACAGGTTTTGGTTTTGGAGCTGGGGCCCTTAGAACCAGGGGAAAAAAAATCTAGACATTTTGACAGACAACAAGATGCCTTGGTTTTCTATACTTAATCCTCTTTCATCTCTCTCTCCATCATTTCTGTAGTCCACTTGGCCCTGTAGATGTTGACATGAAAGAATGGGACTCTTCCAGAACAGGTTTTCTACATCTATACTACAAATTAAATGCTGCCAGAGAATGCTCTTGCCCTGGGCCAGATAGGACAAGACTGTAATGCAGTTGTCCACACTGTTAAATTATCAGCAGAGTCACTAGCACAGTTTGGCCCAGGCCAACTTGCACTCTCCCAAGTAATTTCTCAGCACCATTCAGGATTTTGCACAGACCAGAAATCACTCCTGTTAGGGAATCTTTGGAGGTTCCCACCTAGGAAGTGAAGGTATTTCTGCCATGTGTACACGGCAGTTTGTGCTGCTGGCCTGGGAGCCAGGGCTCGGTCCCTGATTAGCCAGAAAGATCACTACATGAAGACTTGTCACTTAGCCAGGAAGCTACTTGTGAGCTAAAAAGACGAAAGCAGAGAAACAGATCTTTTAAGTCAAAATCTTGTGGTGCAAAGGAACATACACCTCAAAAAGAGGTTGGTACCTTCTGTTTATCTCAGCCTCACAGACAGTGGCAAACTGTTCTGTTATGTCTCTCCCCATTGAGTCTCACAACTTTGGAAACAAGCAGTGTTGCCTTGAAGATCTGTGAAGCCATCCCCTATTATCAAGAAACACCTAGGAAGTGTAACAATGGCCTTCATCATGGAGGCTTACCGCTTCCTCAGCAGCTTCCTGAAGTCCTGAAGCTTCTTCTTTAACTCTGTTGGGGGGAGACAACAAACATTTAGACACCCAACACTGTAAAACATATCCCCAAAAAGAAGATAATGCAAAACAGCCACTGACAATAGGCCATTCTACCATGCTTTTGCATCTAGTTGGTTTTTTCCCCACACTTTCCAAAAGAAAAAAAAAAAAAATCTGTCTTGAAACTTCAAGCCAGGTTTCTCTGCCATGGCTTTCCTCTCTTTCTAGAGATGACACTCAAGGAACCCATTATTTTCCAGCTGTGTTAACATGTTTGATCCAGCTGTACTTAACATCGCAAAAATCTTTTTCTGGCGCTACTGATTGCAGAATCGGTAATTAGAAGAGGTCAAAGCGATGTCCAACATCTACACTTTACCCAAAGGCAAGCAGAAAGAGACGACAGAACATTAGAAAGTCATCAACCCTTCTCTTACTTTATTCTTAACAATTTTGGGGAAGTAATAATGTTATAGATAGACGAGTATTAATTATGCCCTCCTCCCCTCCCCTCCAAAATATATCTAACTTACCATCAGCAGGATGAACAGAAACATACTTCGCTTTCCTCTTAAAGCCAACTGATAGTTTATAGGAGAAAACAAGAGAAAGAACAAGCCATAAGATGAACAAGATAACACTCAGACTAACACCAGTAAACCAATGAACTGTAAAACCTCTGTATCTGTTACCAACGCAAGAGGAAATCCTAGTTTGGATTTCCTTGTCAATCTGACATTGACTTCTCGTAATCTCCATGTATAAATGCAACATTTCTATTGCAATTGACTCTCTGCTTACTGGATGCTCTACGCAGTGCAGGAGACCGTTTCTGCCCTATGAAGCTTATGGTTTAAGCAATGGTAGGAAATATTCACATCTTGTTTTAGAGATGGGAAGCCAAGGTGCAAAGCTTATCTGGCCAAATGCAGACAGTTGCCTTCTAAATTTACTTTACAGGCATACAAATTAAATCAACACTTCCAACATAGTCCACCTCCTGCTCAAGTGGGTTCCAAGAATAGGTCAGCTATATGTTACCCACAAAGTGCCCATTTCTCTCCACGGACTATAAAGGGAAGCAGAGGACTAGGTCAGGTGGACACCACAGACATCTGAAGTGAAGTGAGATGGACCCGCCCCAAAAGAATGCTTCGTTCAACATCATAAAGAAAGGACTGAGCCAATTCAGTCCTAAATCCAGAGCATCTGATTATGGCCCATTGCAGTGACCACAACATCACTTTCTCCTCCCTTGCCTTAAAGCTCATACTGTCACGAAGCCTCCAAAGTCAGGGAGAGTCACAGAAAACCTCCAGTCCTCACTGAGGTGAAAAACAGACCTTCACACCAAGGATATTTAGACAGTGCTCTGAACATCCACCCCCAGAGGACAGCAAAGCCAGCTACTTGGGACTACAGGACCTTTGGAGTACAGAACCTGTCAGTCCTACCTTGTATGATCCTGAGGCCAGCAGAGCACGCAGCTTCCCCATATTCATTCACAGCAACGCAACGATACAAATCACTGTCATCTGTAGTGACTTTGTTTATCTTAAAAGAAGAACAGAGTAAGAGCTCACAGCGACATGCTGCAGCTCACTTCCCACACCTTCAGCTTCTAATAAAACAGCTACTCAACAACATCTCAGATCTTTCTTCTGTTCCCAGAATGACTCTAAAAAGCTTTGTTTGCTTATCTTTGTATTCTCTCAAATCTGGTGACATCTATAACTACCTGTCCACTGCGCAGGTTTTCCCTTTCCATTGCTCTCTCTTCCGTGAGTCCTGTCTGAAATATTTGATCTTTACCTGCAGAATGAATTCATTTGTAACTTTATTGAAGAATGTTTGGTATTTGGCAGGATCATCCACTCCTCCTTGTATACGTGTCCATTTCACATCAGGGGTTGGGATACCTTTGACCACTGCTCTGAAAATGGCAGTTTTACCTTTGAAAAGAGGCAAGAAATTAGTTATTTAAGACAGGCTTGAACACAAGGACTCTCATGCCAGGCTCCCTATGTTGTCAATAGAGCAATCCCCAGAGTAAGCCATCTCTGTTGTTTTAGACAGAAACATTCTTCAAACATAATTAGATCTTTTATTCCTAAATTACCAGTTTAAGTTGCATTAAATGCCCAAATTCCTGCAAGACTTTTGCCATAATCTCCACTCTTAACTCACTGGCTTTCAAAGAGATTACTTGAAAACTAACTTTAAAATTCACCACTAACACATATAGTCTCTGCCTGTGTTTCTACTGCGCAGCCAGAGAAATTACGTACCCAAGATAGCAATTTTTTGGTATCTTGGTCTGATTTCAAACTCCCTCAATATTTGGGCAGGGCCTAAGAGGAGACAATTACTAGCTCAAGGCCAGACTAGGCTACCTTTCCCCATGTCACTAATGTCAGGGTTTGCCTGTATTCAATCATAAAAGGCCTTTAAAATGTGGTGTTAGCCTGCCAGACGCAACTGCTACCATCCTCTGATCACCTCCGAAATCAACACCACTATAGCAAGTTCAGCCTAGGCTCGCTTCTGGCAACATGAAATGCCCAAATCCATCCTCATCACACACATATTCCCCTACAAGTTCCCATTCCTTCTCGACTTTTTCAGACCATTCCCTTTCTTGTGACCATGCTGGGCAGGATGTTAAATAACACAGCACGCGCTGTGCTGGAGTCTCCTGTCCCTAGACATCAGTGAAGTTCATCTGCGAATAGCTGCAGCTCCTGGCATCTTTTTCATTTGGATAAATTTGGATTTATCAGGAGGTGGAAACAAGAAGACAACCCCTCTGCACATTTAAGAAAACACATTCTTAACAGACTACACTGTACCACAACTGGGAGGACCCACACAGGGTAGGGTGTTTCCCAGTGTACTCCCTACATGTCATCTTTCTGCAATATCTTCCTTGTCTGCTAGCCTGGTACCACTTTGCACTCCAAACACACCGAGCTGTGGTATTTGAAGAGGCAAAGAAGAGACAAGAGAATGAGGTTTACCTGTGAGCCCTCTCCTTCATCTCTGGTCCACTAAGAACCTGAGTATACTGCAACTGCCCACAGAAATCTCCGACAGCTTTACCACTGCCTAGTACAAACCTTTTCTTTTTCTTCCAAAAGGCTTCAGAAACATAAAAACCACTCTGAAACCACACATCAAAGAAGTGACTCGTGTAGGTAAGTGGGTGTGTCACAGGGGGATAAAAATGGAGATGAGTTGTCCATGGATGTAGCTCAGGGTGTAAATGATTACTATCTGTCTTTTGCAACAGTTTTGGTCTTCAGGTGACCAACACTGTTAAAAATTCTCCCCAGAAAGTCTTGCAATATTTCCTACACCCTTTTGCAGTCACCACCAAAATATTCCTTTGATGCAGCAAGCTCCTGCCATGTAGCCAACAGACTCTCACCAAAGGGCATCCTCCAAGTTTTTCTGAGATTGCGGTACTATCTGTCATTACAGTCTGTTTCCAGTGGATTATACCTTTGTCAAACTTCAGCCACTCTGGCGGCAATTTCCCACGCTTGCCACCCGTCAGAGGACACAAATCTCCAGCTAGGAGTATCAGCTAATCCATGCACTGAATGCAATGGGGTGATGATGATCTAAAGACAATCACACATCTGCATAGACACTGAATTCAGTTTACACAGCGACCGGCCTGAATGCCCTAACATTTTCTATAGGAACCATGAGGAACCTACTGTAAATGAAATAACTTGGAAAATTTAGGCAGAGTGACTGACCACCACCTTGGTTCGTGCCTCAGACTGGCAGGTGGCAGGAAGGTGGAGGAGGGATGTACCACTAGAGGCCACTGTGCTCCTTCATAAAACCTCAACGGACGGTTAAAATCAACAGATGGGTGAGACAACACACCTGAAATCCAGGGTGCTAGAAACGGTTCAGTCGTGTGAGGGAAGAGGAGCTACGCAATCTGTGCCAGGCTATCCCACTCCAAAAAATATGTGACTCTCTGCGAGGGCAGAGAGATTACTGGAAGGCTTCCAATCGGTTCTTGGTCTTGGCTCATTAGTTGCCTTCTCTGCACTCTGCATATTGCTTCTGGAAGAAGCACAGCCTAAATAGCATCAGCAGTCAGTAAATCCTACTTGAAAAAGCAGTTAATCTTAGGTGCTGAATGCTCATAATACAAATTAGTTCAACAGGAGAAAACAACTTTTTCAGTGTGCTTAATCTTTTGCTGCAAAACACTTACTTTGAGAACTTCCTGCAGAATTCATAGGATTTGCCATATCCATTAAGAGCCAGATTTTGATCTCACATACCCTAGTGAAAACTCAGGAGAGCTGCATCAATACTGATGGAATTTTCATTAGTACAACAACGTCTTTGGCCACACAACACTTTTTTATGGTCTAGTCAAATCTCTTCAGAAACTAGCCGGATTTAATGATAATTGTTTCATGTAGGTGTGACATGGAGTCAAGCCTCCAGGTCTGCGACTTTACTGTTTTTCAAGAATCTCACCTTCCTGCAACGTCAGAGTAACAGGTTTCCGCTCAAAGTCAGGTGTACTGCATCCTTTTGGAATATCGTCCACAAACTGGTTGATAACAACTCCTGGGACAGCAGATTTCTTAAAGATTTTTACTAGAAAGGGAAGGAAAAATACATTCAATTAAGATAACATGTTTGTCCTTTAGAAACAGTCTCTCAATCTGCATTGCCTCTCTGTAGAACAGTAACTGTTCCCGCTCAGCTCCTCTTGGACTACAAAGGACCCCTCCATTTTAGTGCTACAGGCTGTAGGCGTGACCAAAGGCTGGAGCATTCTGGTCTGTGATTTTGTCCTGACTTATTGCAAAGCTAGGGCCCAAGTGGGAAAATCTGCAATCAAGATCACAGTGCAGGGCCACATGGGCTTACAGGTGTAGCAACAATTTGGATAGAGAACACTTTACCTCAGTTATTGTTCCAAATAAAACTCAAAAATCTGCCATGAGAAAAACACTATTGCAAAGGCCAGCAGAACCTGATGAGCCAGTTACCAGTGTCCGTGGTGGCAAAAGACAGATACCCTACTGCCAAACAAGAAAAGCAAGGTGGGCTTATTCTCAGAGGTACCCCAGACAGTTCTCATAGTTGTGTTTGTTCTCTCACCTGCCTGATGGCTGGTCATGATGCTTTGCTCAGCTGCCTGTGGTCAGCACAAACAGACTACAGGTCCTCCTGTGAAAAAGACAAATCGTTTCATTATTTACAGTTCACAGAGGAAATGACAGACCTTAATACTGCTCACTTTTACAACAGTTTGCCCTTCCTCACTTGCCACATGCTAGCAGCCAGTTGAGAAAGGCCTGCTAATCAACACATTATGACATGTCTTTCCAAAACACATCATGACACAGTTTCACAGAATCACAGAATGGCAGGGTTTGGCAGGGCCCTCTGTGGGTCATCTAGTCCAACCCTCCTGCCCAAGCAGGGCCACCCAGAGCAGGCTGCACAGGACCTTGTCCAGGTGGGTCTTGAATATCTCCAGAGAGGGAGAATCCACAACCTCCCTGGGCAACCTGTTCCAGTGCTCTGTTACCCTCAGAGTGAAGAAGTTCTTCCTCCTGTTCAGCTGGCACTTCCTGTGCTTCAGTTTGTGCCCGTTGCCCCTTGTCCTGTCGCTGGGCACCACTCAAAAGAGTCTGGCCCCTAAATGGAAAATGTACACATCTAACAGCATCCCTCTGCCACCTCTTCCATTTCCATGTCATCTGGCTTTCCTCCAAAGACGTCCTCTTGTGTTTCAGGCAAATATTACACCACATGGCACTCACGCGGTGCGTTCTGATGGATGGCAAAAGCAGTTGCTGAGAAGAAAGCCACAGGGATGAATGTCTAAACCAGGGCATGAAGTGGCAGCACATCCTGATCTAAATTAGATTTTCTAAATTAGCAACAGGTCTGGGAGAAGACTATAAGCTACTACTTACTTTAGAAGGAAATAGTGAAGTGTGAACTTGGCATTAACTAGTTATTGTTATAGATCACTCGTGACCTTCTGTCAAAGGTGTCTCTCTCCCTGTATTTATAAATTGGACCACGTGTAATGTAACACATCACTATCTTGCAAGCAAATTGTGAAGGCAGATTCCTTGTCATATGAGAGATGCTCAGAAACTATAGAGTTACTGAAGCTCTGAAAGAGCAATTAGATTAGATTCCCATGTGGGATTAATGCTGTGTCTCTATTTACCCTCTGCACTCCTTCAGTCAACACAGAGTCACAGAAGAACATGCAACTTAACAGTTTTAAAAGGCAGATGGACTTCATCAGCACACCTGTGATCTGAATTCTGTTCCCTGTATCAGGCAGTCATCCAACTGCCTGATATAGTATTGCCACAGTATACCTGGTGAAAACTCTAGGCAGGACCCCAATATCTCCTTGTTATACATTGAGCTTAGAGTTGCATTATCTGTGTGATACTTGGTTTCAGCTAAGGGTAAAAAACAACTAGGCTAACAAAAATCATTTGTGCTGTATGTCCCATAGACAGGCCTGCTGTAGGTGACCCTGCTTGGGCAGGAGGGTTGGACTAGATGACCCACAGAGGTCCCTTCCAACCCCTACCATTCTGTGATTCTGTAAAGAAGCATAACTCACAGTATTGGGTCAAATTATGAACCACTTCGTTTTTCCATTAATGAGTGTTTGCAAATAGGAACATAGACATCTCACCACAATAACTGGCTCCTCTGTTGTCCTTAACACAAATCTTATTTTAGAGCTCTGCACACTATAAAAATCCCATAACTAACTACCAGATCACTACTGATTACTTGGAAAATCATTCTGTGAGCCTCATTGACTTTAGTGAAAATGCACATGAAAAAACAGAATTGGGAAATGATTTATGGGTCTGTGCGAACAACAGCCAAGCCCTCTCTTTCCATCAGCTCCCCAGTCTGGTGTGGGTGACTTGTGTTGCTATCCACCAAAACAAGAGTTTTACATTTCAGTGTTCCAGATTTTGTGTGTTGATTTTTTGGCATATCACATAGTCCCTTCTGTAAACCATTGGTAGATGTTTCATAAATTGCAAATGAAGGGAACAAACAGCTTGTGGAGGGAAGAAACACAGAACTGAAATGAAAATAAGATGATTCCAGGACACCCTGCCCTGCACTGGGCAGGGCGTTGCACAGCAAATGGCAGAGATTTTCAGACGCTCTTAATCACCCTCTTCTGCTGGACTTAATTTGTCCTCCGAAGTACTGAACTGTATTAGTAGCAAACATTAAAATCCCCGGTTGCCTTCTGCAGTCTTGTATCTTCCTAAACTTGTCACCACTCCTGCAACTGAAATGTCTAACGCTTACGACTTTCAACAAACATGGTCACTTGACATTAGCTTGCAAAGCTCTTTTTATGTTACGCTTACACTTATCCTTTGCTACTCCTGACTTCTTCCCTCCACTCTAGGCAATACTGACAAGCATCTACACTGAAGCATGAACATAGTCCAAATTCTCAGGTCCAAAGCCATCAGGAAACTTATTATTTTCTTATGTTACCAAATGCATCATGTCAGAGAGTTGTTCTCAGTCCATTGTGACTGTGGATATATCTTAAAATAATTATAACCTATTGAGAGATGGCTACATTCCAGCTTGGTTTAAAAAACCCAAATACTAACAATACTTGTATAGGTAGTAACAGGCACCATGTATGAATGTACAATATGTACTATGTACACTATGCGTAAACTGCTGAGTACATAGGGCCTTAAATATTTCAGAAATTAATTTGGATTAAAGATAAGCTGCTGTGAGTCCTTAAACTGCTGTGAATTCTTGCCTTGTGGAGAGTGAGACAGAAGCATGTTAATGCCACACGTTGATTGCACAGTTAAAATAACAGTGCCAGGATATGCAAGAGAACATTCCTTCAGTGTAATTAATCCAACCACATCACATTTTCTAGTGTCTTCTGTGTTAAATGAGGACCAGAAAATAACATACCAGCTGGCAGAGTGATTCAGACCCTGCCCTGCTTACTTTTAAAATTTCTACTCCCTTGTTACATGAATAACCATGGTTTTGCTTTGACTTCAGTTCAACCCTAGAAAAAGAAATCACATAATTTTTAAAAGAAATGAAAGACAGCAAAAGCCTTCCAAACATTGTCATAGTGTAATTCCTATCTTCACTCACAGATGCGAATTTTTAAAAGAAATGAAAGACAACAAAAGCCTTCCAAACATTGTCACAGTGTAATTCCTATCTTCACTCACAGATGCTTGAAACATAGGTATCCACACTAAAGGTGATCACTGAGATTGCTATTCATACAAATGAGGCAGACAGGTATTTCCAAAAGGCAATGTACAATCAACGCCCCCCCCCAGGCGAAATGCTGTTGAGCAACGTCCCCAGCACAACGGGGCTAACACTGGAAGTAGCTCAACACTCTCACTCCTCTGAAAAACACATCATTGTCATGCATCAGCTTTGTTCAGGTAAACAAGACTTGGCTATTTCTCCTCCCAGGCAGAGGTGTCTCTGCTGTTCAGCTGCAGAGACATCACCTTTGGAGACAGTGGCAAAGCTCCCATGGCTTTGAATGCAAAGTAGGAGCAAGCCCTTGGTTACTGACAATATCTTTAATCTACCAAAATAAACCAGGTAGCCAGACGGGACGGGAGGTCTGCCCTTCATCTGGCCTATCCATCAATCTGTCTGGATGACACAGAGCAAGAGCCCACTCCCTTTTGCAGTCTAACTGGACAGCAGTGATAGGGCCATAAATCCGCTAGGTGAATAAGCAAAACATTTGGGAGTCACAGGATTTGGAGGTACTAGTGGTGTCACAAGTAGTTAGTTATGAGGTTCAGACAGTGCAACACACAGACAAGATGTGACATAATTGCTGGCAGAGACCGGTGAGCAAAATTAGCCAAACTTGTAGAGACATGACACGCAGTGCGTGGTTTGTACAGAGGTGGTGGGTCCAGAGGCATGGATGGACCACAGACATTGGCACAAGCACAGTAAATGTAGAGTACAAAGCCATTACCACAGACCACAGCAGAAGACTCGAATGCCATTATAATAAATTAATCGGTAACAGATGCAGCATTCTGTTTCTCTTTGTAATTCATAAAAATCAGGACGGTCCCGACAGCAAATGTTCTAAACAAAATACGAAATTGTTCTGTGCTCAGTCTCAAATTCTAGCTGTGCTGTACACCAGATACTCACTGAGAAGTGGAATCTCTCACCTAAAATTTCTCTTTGAGCTTTGGGTAGGCTTTCTTTGTTTATTTGTTAACTTTAAGTAATGTTTTGAGCTTGAGTCTTCCCATTTCAGAAAATTTTTAAAGTAAAATCTCAAAGACTTTGGTTAGAACCACAGAACTGAAGGCCAGCAACTGCAGAAGTGCAACTTCATGAAAACTTCCGAGCAGGTCACAGAGGGGGAACGTGACAAGCACTCCAGTGATGAATGGAGGTCTTGTGTAGAGTGGGGAGGAATGCCCAAGGATCAGATTTTGTGTGACTTATCCCTTCGGTAAATCTATACTTGACTTGATCTTCTCTTCTGCCACAGGGATTATGAATATAACATAAGTGATTGCTCATGCTGTCCACTATTTACGTATGCACACACCAGATACTCCATAGCTATTTATTTATGAAAGCCGCATTGATACAAAATGCCAAAAGGAGACACACATCATCTATATTTTCTAAGTGAAGGAAAGCAATTAAGACCTAACAGCGGCGAACAAGACAGTGAATTCACACCACTTTGGTGAAGTAGGTATGGGATGACAACACAAGAACAGGTCAGTCGGTTCCTTTCAATGTCCACAACATACCCATGAATTCTTTCATAACGTAGACAAGTATTTTCATAACAGTCAATAAATTTCAAGCAAGTATCAGCAGAGCAAATACAACAGAGTTTTACTAAATGTCCAGAAGAAAAAAAACCACATATCCCTATTTACTGTCCCAAGAAACAATGTGTCCAAGATAAAAAACATTTGAAACCTCAGCGTACCTGTGCCACTAGTCCCATCTTAGCTCCATGGGGCAGTTACGGCAGATCTTCAACAGCCTGCCATCTTACTAGGGAAATCAGTGCACGCTATAGGACACCGCTCCTCCCAGAACATTTAC